CAATTTAAGTCAATTTTTAAAATTTATACAATTTTAATCTAATACAAAATTTTACTTCATAACTTTTTATTAGTTTAATGATATTTTCAAAAAGATCATTTCTTCCATGTGAAACGAACACTGAGTTCAATGTGTGAAACACATTTTTCTTTTTTGCTATCCTTACTGGCATCTTTTAAATTATCAATACTTGGACTAGCAACAAATACAGAAAATTTTTTTTTTTTTTTTTAAAACAATCAAGATCATTTTTTTAATTGATCAAAATTATTCATTCATTTATTCAAAATTGTTCTAACAAAACCTCAAGATGTGGACAATGAGATTTAGATTTCAGATATTTTATTTACATGTGGACTAATGTTCTTTGATTATCACAATGTTTTGGTTATTGTACTCTCCAACACAATTTCTCCAGGTGTTTGTCAATCCAGGTAACTTTCAGGAAATTTGAATCCTCTATTACTCTGATTGAGAGACGCTAGAAAGCCAGAGGACACAATGGAAGAAATGTGATAATAGCAGAGATAAGGACAATAGTCTGAATGTAAATAACTTTTCTCCAGCTATGGGTTAAATAGCAGGGCTGGTATAATCTAATTTTATTTATTTATTTTGTTTTTTTTAATCAAATTTACCCAAAGCAAGGCTAGTAAAGCCACTAAGACACAAGGGATTACTATATGTGAAAGAAAAGAAAACAGAAGAACCATTACTTAGGAGTGAGAACAATAGAAGAGTAATCAAGAAGACAATAGATAATGATTGACATTGCATTTAAATTTTTGAAAATCAAAATTAACTGGGAAGCACAGAACCAGAAAAGAGTTCCATAAGTGAAAATTACGAGAAAAGAAACTGTTAGCACAGAACTTAGTTACATCTAGCCAATTCAATTGTAAATTGATGAATCTGGTACTGCACTTAAAATTCAAAAGTCTAGGTACCATAGTGAAGAGCTCATTTGAAGAATTACTATGAAAGTATTTATTTATTAAAGACATTTTTATGTTTAACGTTCTTTTTTATAGATACAAGTATTTAAGTAAATACTCTGTTTATAATAAACAGTATTAAATAACATTTACCGGCCTGAATGTCTGAGAAATTTTCATAGAAAATATTCGTCCTTTGACAGGATTCGAACCTGCATCCTATACGGAACCGTCATTTACGCTGACGTGCCTTACCGACCAGCCACAAAGGAGCGTTCGGTAGACAAGGTCGAATTTACTGCTTATAAACTTCAATCTTCCATGAATCTCATACATTCATAACTGCTCTGGCGTATCAAATGTAAACAAATGACGTCATATATTAAGAAATGGACAAAGTCCGACAATTTATTTATTAAAGACATTTTTTTATTGTATCTATAAAAAAGAACGTTAAACATAAAAATGTCTTTAATAAATAAATACTTTCATAGTAATTCTTCAAATGAGCTCTTCACTATGGTACCTAGACTTTTGAATTTTAAGTGCAGTACCAGATTCATCAATTTACAATTGAATTGGCTAGATGTAACTAAGTTCTGTGCTAACAGTTTCTTTTCTCGTAATTTTCACTTATGGAACTCTTTTCTGGTTCTGTGCTTCCCAGTTAATTTTGATTTTCAAAAATTTAAATGCAATGTCAATCATTATCTATTGTCTTCTTGATTACTCTTCTATTGTTCTCACTCCTAATTAATGGTTCTTCTGTTTTCTTTTCTTTCACATATAGTAATCCCTTGTGTCTTAGTGGCTTTACTAGCCTTGCTTTGGGTAAATTTGATTAAAAAAAACAAAATAAATAAATAAAATTAGATTATACCAGCCCTGCTATTTAACCCATAGCTGGAGAAAAGTTATTTACATTCAGACTATTGTCCTTATCTCTGCTATTATCACATTTCTTCCATTGTGTCCTCTGGCTTTCTTGGCAGCAATATCCCTTCTTTTTTTTAACTACATATGAGACTTTTATTTATATATATATATATATATATATATATATATATATATATATATTCTAACCAAAATAACAAAACAACAAATTTAGATCAGTTTTAAGTGACTTTTATTTTTGCAATGAATCCAAAACTGATGGTTTATGAAATGTATTCCAATTTAAGAAGACAGTTTTAAAGACAAATTTAATCTGGGTGTAAATATTTAAAAAGAAAATAAGTGCAATTCTGTTTGAAGAAACTGGACCGCTAAGCCACATGTCTTCATAGAAATATAAAAATCTGTTACAACTTTTTTGTTTTTGTTTTGCTTACAAACTTCAAAGAAATGAAACAAAAGAAAATGTGATGGGGAAAATGAATTGAATGAGAAGTGGGAATGGAAAAAAAAATGCCCAAAATTTACTCAAAAAGGAACATTGGTTTAATAGAAAAAAAAATGCTAAATTTCCAATCAAAATGTATCAGAAATGAAGTAACCCTGTCTCTCACTTGTAATATCTTTTCATTTATTCCTTTTCTCTTAGCAGAATTTTTTTTGTCATTGTTCAAATTATTTCAATACATACAAGAGGCAAGAATTGGAAGAATGTGTTTATTTCATTGGATCTTTCTCTATATTTCTGAGGTGAGGTATTGTAACTACACTATTTACATTGTTCAGACTGTTGTCCTCATTTTTGTTGTCATATTCACAACACTTCAGACATTGTACACTCAAACCTTCTTCAGATGATTTGAAATTCTAATCTCCTGAAAAATACCAGAGTGTACAACGGCCAAAACATTATGATGAGAACAATAGTTTGAACAGTGTTCATTGAATGTTGTTTACTTTAAGGTGACTGATGTGCTTTTCATCTGGGGCAAATCTACAAACTGGATAAAACTGTTTTTGGTTAAAAAAAAAAAAAAAAAAAAAAAATTCTCCAATCAGTGCTGATAATATTTACTGTAGCAAATGTAATTCCCTGCTAGAAAATTTTTTTTTTTTTTTTTTTTTAAATTATGTTCCTTAATTTTTATAGTTGGCAATGAGGAACAGTTGTATTAGGATTTGTTCTTATTGTAAATGATCCCCTATCTTTGTATGATTTACAAGGAGTGATGCTTTATCTAAAATACTTTTACAAAGCTTCTCTGTGGGGATGACACTGAGTAACTTTCAAATCAGGAAACAACTTTCTAGAACAAGTGAATAACATTTCATGGTTTCAAATCCAAGAAAAAGTTCAATGAAAGGAGTCAGATATTTATAAATTTTATTTTTTTTTATGACTGACAGTAAAGTAGAAAATTAGGAAAGTGTTAACACTGTCAAGAGAAAACATGGCGGTCATAGTTAAAATCTGTTGATATTTTTATTTTTGTTTTGCCCACTAATTGATCTTTTGTGATTATGTAACCGAATTAAATGATTTCATGTCTATTTGCTTAAATTCTTTTGTTTTAACACTGCCCACTAATTAAACCATATCTCCTCCTTCTTTCAGTCTAGCATTCCTTTTTAGAACTGATGTATTATTAGTGACATAAAGCCTTTTTTGAACTTGGAATGGCATTCTTATAAAGAGACAGTGCTATAAAATATCAAGTCTTGTGAGGAAGACTGTAAAGTGTCAAAGTCTTCTGAATTGTAAAGGGTTAATGTTAGAAAATACTTGGTTGTTAGATATAGCCTTGTTGAAAACTTCAAATAAATATTTGAGAAGTGTGCCACTCTAGACTGGGGGACAGAAATTCTGGAGAAACAATATTTTCTTAGGTTTATTACTTCCATTTTTATCTATCTAAAAATAATGTTGCTATGTATTTTATTGATTGGCAATACAAATTCATGACAGAAAATTTATAAATGTTGGGATATGAGAGAGAGATTTTTTTTTTTAATCAGATAACCAAATTGATTGGTCCCCATTGTTATTTCATAACTCACAGTTGACAAGTGGAGTTGTACTAGTTTTGAGTTGAAACCTTAAATAATAAGGAAAAAGTCTAGCATTAGTGAAAGCAGCAGAGAAATTATTTTAAACTTTCTTTGTGAAATATTTTTCAGATTTCAAGAAATAAGTCCATTTCATGAATTAGAAGTCAAAGGTTACATCTCCAAAATAAATGAAAGGAGAAAATCTTTGCATTTCTATTTTTTTTTTTTTTTATGTACAATGATTTAACAATCGATTAAAAATAATTTTCGGCAAATAAACATGGAAGCTTATTTAAATGATGACTCATGAATAATTTACTTGTAGATGAAATGGATTTATATAATTTCTTCTCTTTGACAATAAGAAAAACAGGATTGAGAATTTTGAGGCTTAACTGGAAATTCATTTTTGTTATAGTCAATGTTTTGACCAGCCTAGTCTCTATCCAGCATCAGATCACACACATACATAAGCATTAAAAAAAAAAAAAAATCCTGTCACGATTTCATTTCCAAGTTATATAAAGCCATCACTGATTTTCTCTCTTAAATTCAGTGACCACGTTAGAAGTAATTAAACTAATCCCTCACTTTATACAAACTTAAACCTATCAACGATGAAATTCATGATGAAATGAAAAGCTGATTCATTGTTTAAACACTTGACAGATTCTTTGAAACCAAATGAAATATTCCTTCAAACTCTGATAAGACCTTTCAAATTGTCTTATCAGAAATGATTTTTGCAATAATAGCAGTTAGCTTTTTTAGACCAACAGAGATCGAATTACTACACAAAACAAAATTTAAATAAGTAACAAAAATTGATTTTTTGCAGCTCTATAAAATATTTAAACTTAATTTTTTTCCCCCCCATTGTGCATAGTTTATTCAAAATGGATGTTGACAGTTTGTTTTTTTTTTTTTATTTTTCTTTCTGCAAGATGACATTCATCTTAAAAGAAAAATTAAACAACAAATTTTTTTTTTCCTTAAAGGAATGTGAAAGTTCTGAAATTACTATTCCTATTTCCAATGAAGGTTAAAACAAAAAAAAAAAAAAATCATGAAAACTTAAAAGGGGAGGTGGGGGAAGTGATAGCTTTTTTTTTTTTTTTCTCTTTAAGCTGTGATGTTTGGTTCCACAACAGCTTTGACATCTTTTGGTGATTCACAAGCTCTGAGTAAAGGATCTTGCTCAAGGAATTCATTAAGTTCTTGTTCTAAATCCATTGGCAATGGGTTTCCTTCTCCTGTTCCAATTGCAGGTAAGATAGAAGAATTGCTTGGGTCAATGTCACTCATATTGTAAGCACTTGAAATCAAGTCTTCTCCTTCTATAGGGTTTGTTGTGATGCCCATTGCATTACGAAGGGCTCGAACACTGACAAGGCCACCAGGATTGGCCTGGAAAAAAAAATAAAGTAAAAATATAAAAAGTATTCAAAGAGAAAGAATTTTTATTTGGATTAATTTAAGATAGTTATCAGTTTATATCACACTCACCTGCTTGGCTAACTCTCGCAATTCTTGAGTCACTTTATTGGCTGAAAAAAATAAATAAATAAATAAAAATAATTTAAAAGTTAAGAGTGAAATTACTATTTTTTGTTTAAATTCTTCAAAGGAGAAAAATGTGAAATTTAGACTTTTATTTTATGTTTAATTAAATATATGAATTGACTTTTTGACAGATGAGATAACTAGAATTGTGTCCTTCAACCAATGTTAAGATTTTCTGGTTTAGCTACAAAATTACAAAGTAATGTTGAATTAAATAATTATTTAACATTTATTACAGCAAATTGTCCTACTGAACAACAGCCTAGTGGATAAGTGTTGGTTTGTGAATTTGGGTTGGGCAGTGGGTACAATAACTGAACAGTACTAAATAAAAATAAGAACTAGACAATATCCTTAGACATGAGCAGTGGAACAAAAACAGTCAATAGATTAAATAAAGGGTTCAGTTCAGAATTCACTGTAGGTTACCCAGATCGATATACACCTGAGGAAGGCCAAAATGTGATAGCAACAAAAAAGATTACAATAGTCCAATTATAAATAGTGTAAATAAATATTTCACATTTAATATAAACAACTTGCATCAATTGCAAAAGATAGATATTATTTTTTATTTTTTTTTTTTTTTTTTTTGTAAATTTCAAGGTTGGCTTTCTCTTAAAGTTTTGCTGTAATGGAATGTCCCACACTTCCTATGTGGACTGACTATAGCAATATATATATATATATATATATATATATATATATAGTGAGCACAGGATATACCTGGGGGCTTGCTTCGGCAATTAGTTGAAGATTTGTCTCCAGTTAAGTTAGTCAAACTATTTGGCTTTATGACAGAGAGGAACCCAGACGAATCTATGCCAAAGGGCAGAGTCTTGTCTGGGGTAGTAGACAGCTACCTGACCCTGTTTTTTACAGGGTCTATGGGGAATTTTTGCCCGAGCATACGGGCTTGGATAACCCAAGTTAAATTCAGCCTTGTGCTACATCTGACCGCATGGGGCGGTTGGCAAATATCCTTGCTTTGGGAATTACTAGCCTGCTACCTTTGGTAGTAGTGTATTCTCTTTTATAATAAACCTCTCTTTCTTTAATCTACATGCATGTTGCTGTTCCTTCACTTGAGTACCACCTTTGTCTGTTTGTAACCTCTTTAAGGATGCTTTTTGATACTACAGAGTTTCATCAAATGCTCTTAAAGCACATGAGGTATTAGCAGAATCATGATGGCTACTTACCAAGTTGGGTTTCTTTTTGGGATGGTCCTGGAACAAAAGCTAAATGGACAGGAGGTTTGGCGCTTAATCGATCATGTTGAGTGGAATGAAGGTCTTGGATCAGCCCAGCTGTATAATCCAGCTTCTGTTGCAATTCCTTCTCTTTAGTGATCTCTTTTTCTGCAACAAATGAAAATAAATAAATTTAAAATGTCATCCAACAGGGACCATGTAAATAAATGCCAATTCTATCAGGCCATTGGAGGAGAAAAAGGTTTTTTAAAATGAATAATTCAAGGTATTTGACTCTGGAGAATGGAGTTGTGGCTTATCAGTTCTTTAAAAGATGCAGAAATTGTTCAGGCAAGAATGAACTTTAAAACGCCTGGTTCACAGATTACCCACATTTCCTTTTGGGCAGATTTATCCTGTGTATTGCTTACTTTGTGGAACAGACTCCTATGTGGATGCTTCCACAAGCGCTACAATCTTAACCTCTTCAAGTCAAGAGTCAATCATTATCTATCCTCATAATATCTGCTTCCTTCTTACATTCATATTGCACACCTAATTTAGTAACCTTCTGCTTTGTATTGAATGAACATTAGTATCCTTGCTGAAACCTCATGACAAGTGAACTGAACAATAACAAAAGGGTTTGTCAATGAAACTTCAGAATTGAAGTACTGAATATAATATCAATCAGCTAAGTGACAAATTTTATATCATGAAGAAACAGTTTATACAAAGAATAAACATATTTCATCTTAGTGTTTGCCTGTGTATGGGAAAATTGTGCCTTGAAGATGACAATTTGGAATTGTTGAAAGTACTTGGCATGAGTGTTCCATCTGACAACAACTCAAATATAAGGATCTTATTATTCAAGGAATTGATAGTAAGTTAATGTCTAAGTCTTGTTAGTGAAGTGATTTTGCCATTAATCACATTAACATTGCTATTTAATTCTTTGTATAAATTGTTTCTTTATGGGATTATATATATATATATATATATATATATATATATATATATATAAAGAAGTAATAGTGTTTTATCACTTTAAATGTTATTTTGGTGGATATCCATATTTGACATGCTCTGTTTATTAAACAGCATATTTATTTATTTTCATCTACTAGCATCAATATTTGAGAAATATTAAATCCAGCAAGATTTGAAACTGCATCCCCCAGGGCAGAGGGAACTGTTGTTAGACCCAATGTTCTTTAGATCAGCTCAGCCACAAAGAACTTTGTCACTCAAGCAATGCTGAATACTACCTTTAAGCAAACTTTTTCTCATCATAGATACTCAAAATTTCATATCTAAACATAAAAAAAACAATTTCTAAAGTAATAAAATTTTTGTTTATTAATCCAACAGATTTTACTGCTTTAAACATTATTTTGGTCAGTAGATACTCATATTTGAGTAGATGCTCCATTTATTTATTAAACAGTAGATTTATTTATTTTCCTGAATATTCGAGAAATCTTATTAAAGAAAAATATGCATTCTTGAGTAGGATATACAAGATAGACTGTCCTGGCAATTTTGACATATGAGGATCCAACAATCTCTTTCAGTTTATATGTTTGTGTCATATGTAACACTTCAATCCCACTAATGACTTGCATACAAGTTTACGTATTGTCCAACAGTAAGGATCTCTTGATATAGCAACAGGAATATTTGCTGATGCTTTTCTCTTTTTTTGCTGGTCAATGCAAATGAATTCAAAATTTCTGATAGCACTCTGACACAAATGTCTCCAGTTAGTGCTATCCAGGGCAACTTGTTCAAAGTCAGTATGAGGCACATTGACAGCTGAGAGTTTACTCTTTAGCTTGTCTTTATACCTGTGCAACAGCTGTCCAACACTCCTTTGTCCACCGTCAAGCTGGCTAAAATATAAATTCTTTTTTTGTTTTTATTGATCCTTTCAACAATTCTAATAATAAAAATGGAACTTTTGCAGGTTTTTAATGATACTTATAAAAATGAAAAAATGCTGCCTAAATACACCACACCTTAAACTTCCTATTTTCTTGAAAAATTCCTCAATGCTCATGTTAAATTCATGGCATTTTTTATCATCTGTAAGTAGGACCACATCTGTTGTTTCATCTGAGAGATTGTCCAATATTCACTGCTGTATAGGAGATTAGAAATTATATTGTAGTTCAGCACTCTGCTCCACACCATTAAATAATAATAAAAAAAAAAAAAATCATTTTAAGTTAATTTTTACAGTTAGCAGGGATTAATTTTAACTTGAGGAGGAGGTGAATCTACTTAAACTCATATCTATTTCATGAACTTAGGTAGGGGGACTATGTCAAAACCAAAATGTAGAGTAGGAGTTTGCATACTGCAAATGAAGAATAAATCCATATTTTAACAAGAAGATAGCTCACCAAAATAATCAAGGAATGATAAATCCATTCCCAAGTCTGTGGACAAAGATTTGAGAGAATTGAAGTCAACATCCAATGCATCTTTCTGAAAAAAGATAAACAAAATAAGAAAAAATTAGTGACATTTTGAAAGAAATAGAAGCAATATAAAATTCAAAGCAGAAATTATGATAAATGGAAAATAATTTGTTCAGATTCTTTCAATCAATGCCTAAGCATAAGAAATAAAATTTAACATAAAAATTTAAGTGTAAAAAGATGAATTACCATTTACATTGTTGTCATCATCTTTATTGCCATATTCACAATGTTTTGGCCATTGTACACACCAGTCTTCTTCAGGTAATATGTTGGAATTTCGAACTGAACCCTTCATTTAGTCCATGGGGGTAGATTGTTCTAATTCCACATGATGCACCTTTTAGTAAATCAACTTACCAAGTTTTTGTTCCCTCTAGTGTGGCCAGGTATTGAACTCACAACTCTCTAACTGAAACTGAGAAAACAATCTACTCCCATAGACTAAATCAGTGGTTCCCAAACAATTTTTCTCTGGGCTGCATTTTTGTAATGAAAATTTGCTTGCAAATCACCAAATTTTATGTGATAAAAAGTATGTTTAAAAATAAAAAGACAGAAAGGGTTAAAGCAAGATAACTGCAGATTCAAAGTCAGAACATTATCATTGATCACTCTCTCCTCCAACTTGCAGACCCTAGTTACTATATTCCTAATAGTTGATATAATGCAAAAAATATCACAATGATAAAATTGGTCAATAATTATTTATAACTATTTATACTGGGACTCATGCATGTAATCCATAATAATATTTTAAAGTTTAAAATTACATTTATTTTTGGCCTATGGATTTTTTGAGACTTTTTTAATCTTTGATTGTTTTTCAATCATTCCACCTCACCTGATATCCTCTTCTGCCACACTGTTTGGGAACCACTGAACTAAATAAAGGGTTCGGTTTGAAAATTTAAACATATATCATCTGAAGAAGGCTAGAGTGTATAATGGCCAAAACGTCATGAATATGGCAATAAAGATGAGGACAACAGTTTAAACAATGTAAATAGTTACAATACCTCATTTCAGAAATATAGACAGATGTTGAATTACCAGTTTAAAAGAAAAAAAAGAAAAAAAATAGGAAAAAAAAAGAAGTTATTTTTTAAATTGTTTTTGTCCTTTAAACATTTTTTTTTTATAGTAATTCAATTCACTACTTTTTGTGTGCAGATAGTATGATGGTTATTGGTATGGATTGATTTTTTTTCAAACATATTACTCCAAGAAAGACAATAATGTCACTAGGCCACGAGGGTTTACTGGGAGTGAAAGAAAATGAGAAGACTTTAGTAAAGAGAAAAGACAATAAAAGAACAGGATTCAGAAAGACAAAAGATGGTGATTGGCATTGCATTTAAATTTTTAAAGATTGTACATGGTAGGCAAGCAAGAAATCAGAGGCAGTTCCACAGGTAAGAAGTGTAAAAAAAAAAAAAAAAAAACTATTGGTATAGAACATTCAGTTGCATCTAGCTACTTCAATAGTAAAACTGTGGGACCTAATTGCCAAGGTTTAAATTCATGCAGTCGAAGCATCAAGGTAGAAAGTTTATCTTTCTGCAACATGAAAATATTTGCAGAAAAGATGGAGGGAAGCCAGATCATGCTGGTGAGAAAGTGACTGAAGCTGAGATGCCAGATCAGGATCAATCATATTACAGACCCTTCTTTAGATTTTATCAAAAATCTCAAGATATATAACAGGAACATCAGACTAGACATGGAAGCAATATTTAATGCACAGACAAATGGTAGATTTATAAAAATGCAAGAATGATTCTGATAAGAAAAATAGTCTGGTGTGGCACAATGGACCAATATTCCTAGCAGCAGACCAAGCAATTGATTCCATATAATCACTCCATTTCATATCAGTGGAAAACATGAGACCAAGAAGGGACAAAGATGCTCTTTTAGAGGTTAGCATCAGCCATGGTCTGCAGGCAGAAAAGGTTGTTTGTGGTGATTAAATGAAAGAAGTTTTGTTTTGAAGGTCTTCAAATTTACAAGCCATTCTTTGCCCCAGTTAACCACTCATTGGAGGTCCTTTCAAAGAGCAGTTACAAATTTTACTTTAACAGACTCGCTACTGAGACAGGAGTAAATAGTTGTATCATCAGCATAAATACCTTGTTGGGAACTGATAACATCAAGAAAATCATAGATGAAGATAAGGAACAATGGAGGTACAAGGATAAAGCCCTGGGGATCACCATTTTAATGCAAAGTAAACTAGAAGTATGTCCTTGAGTTGAAAATTCTGTCTAGTCTGTTGTGTTCACTTTTGCATAAATATCCTTGTAAAATGCATGAATCCATTTCTTCTGCCCCAAACTATGGGTTAAATACCACAGAAGACTGGGTTCTATCACCAAACCATAGAGAAGGCCACAGAATACCAGTGCACTATCTTTGCCAAGAATGCATGGCAACGCATAAATACCACTAAGATGCAGTGAAAGAGAATGAGAAAACTTTAGAAGAAACTGGAAACAAGGGATAAACCTCTAGTTCTGTTCAAAAGACAGAGGAGGAGTGTGAACTGGACAATAGGTGAATATATCTACTCCTATTGAAGAAAATAAATGGTAAATAAAATTTCAGATTTTAGGCAGATGTTAGAAGTATAGAGTTGTAGTAGACTTTAGAAGGAACCAAAAACCCAATTCTAAACAGGAAACAAGGGATAAACCTCTACTCCTGTTCAAAAGATTGTGCTTGCTTTTTTTTTTCCCTTGCTTTTCTTGCCTTCAACATTTCAAGTGCTTTTAATATAACTGATTACCAACATTAGTGGTGTGCCTACCATAATTCAATAGTTATCAAATTTATCCTAAGCACAAATCCTGGGTATCAAAGTCAAATTTGGCAAAAGAATGCTCACTTAAGAAGCAATAAGGGTTTGTGGCATAATTAATAAAACAGACTTGAAATTCTTGTTTCTATATTTTTTAATTTTTTTTTAGATCTTCAAAAGCTGAAAGGTGATACAATCCATCGAGCAATGATGGGGGTCATTTTGGTTAAAATGAAGCACAAGATAAACTGACCTGTGCACCAGAATCGACTGCGGCCATCGCTTGGTCCAACTCCGCAGCGGCTTGAGCTTGTTTCTTAGTTTCTTCTTTTCGACGCTGGGGAGAAAGGAAGAAAAAAAAAAAAAAAGCGTTCACAAATGAAAATCATCTTTGAAAGAAAAATAAACAGCAAAAGAAAACACAGTCATTGTGCATTTATTTCAATGAATGAAAGAGTTGATATGAAGTTTAATACAGATTTCTTGTTTGTAAAATGGAGGTGAATAGAGAAAATATTTACCTGATCAATTTGCCACTGCACTTTGCTATGTTCTCCATTGGTGAGGGCATCCAGCATATTATCCACCATTTTGATGGTGGTGTCACCAGTTGATTCAGCAAATGACATTATGCTACAAGAAAGAATGGTGGCAATTTGAATTTCAAAATCAAATCCTTTTTTAAAATTCAAAGCAGAACCTATGATAAAAAGAAAATAATAAAAAAGTGGCAAGGCAGGGAGAAAAAAAAAGAAAGAAGCTACATTACTATAAATAATATTTTACATCTACTGAAATAGTGTCATACCTGAATTATTAATAGACTCTCCCACACATAAGTAGTAGTAGTAGCGGTCGCCAGTGGAGCTCAGTGGGGTTGAGTGAGTTTGTCAGACATTGAAGTATCAACCATCACAACTAGATTGCTGCGTCATTAATCATTATTGCAAGTTCCTAACGTTTTGTACGTCGGACCCTTTAGGGACCGACTTAGCGAAATACAAACCTCCACTGTGAAAACTACTCTACAACAAATAGATATCTCAGTTTTATTTTATTTTTTTTAATAAAATTTTCTAGACATACATAACTGTATTTTTTTGTTGATGCAGGACTGGGATTAATCTCACAAAGCAAGGTGGGTCCTGCCTGACAGAAGTTTTGTCACAATGATTTGAGTCAAGATTTTAGAAAGCTGGATATTCTTCCTGACGCTGATGGTAGTCTGTATACTAAGTGTTTTTATTGAGACACCAACTGTAAGAAGGTTGCCCATTCAAGGCTTGAGACCCCATCCTAGCCATTTATATATATATATATATATATATATATATTATGAAATGGACAAAGTCTGACAATTATTTTAAGACATTTTTATGTTTAACATTCTTTTTATAGATACAAATATTTAAGTAAATGCTCTGTTTATAATAAACAGTATTAAACATTCAGGCCGGTAAATGTTGTTTAATACTGTTTATTATAAACAGAGCATTTACTTAAATATTTGTATCTATAAAAAGAATGTTAAACATAAAATGTCTTAATATATATATATATATATATATATTGGCTCCTATAAGATGCTCACCTGCCCTTTGACAGGTATTGTTTTTTTTTTGGCCTGTGAGGTGACATGCCACTCTCCCCACCAGCAGAATAGCTTGTTTAGACACCAACCACCCATCCATGTAGCAGGCTGTGTTGGGTTACATGTTACAATTAGCAGGCCTAAGCCTGACCTGACCACAAGAAAAAACAAAAAAACAAAAAGAAAAAACAAAAAAAAAACACAAAAGTGAAATCTACCAGCCCAGATCATCAAAAGTCTTATTAAAGAAAATGAGAAAATGTATCTATTGGAAGGAATTGAACTTGCATTCTCCTATTTCTGGGAAGCCATCATAGTTAGGCTTGCCATTACCATTTTCAAGAAAGAAGCATATTTCATCGGGACTTTTCAGGATTTGTATCTGTTAACTTATGGCCAATTCTATAAAATACTAAGGAGTTTAATGGGTTTATCCCAATCAAGGTCATTTCTGTGTGTCTTTAGATTTCTTCACTATATATGTTGTATGGTATTGCAGGAAGTCTATTTTATCTGTCCCAGATCCAGATGCATTGCTGATTCTGCATTTTAACACACTACCTTTTCTTGACATTCTATTAATCAGAACAATAATGAATTAAATTAAATTTCAAGGTTTACTGAAAACCAATAAATTAAGTCATTTTATTTTTATTTCCAAAATAAAATAAAATTGGGATTAATTATAGATTTCTATCTAACACCTCTTACGACATATAGCCCTGAATATCTACATGAAGACAATTTTATATATCTTTAAATTCTTTCACTACTACAATCATTTCTCACACACGAGTAAAATTGATTGAATGATTTGTCTTTTATGGCTTATCAACCTTTTACAGGTTATTTAAAACCAGCAAATATTTTTGAATGGTAAGAATTTTTTTTGAGATAATAATGACTTTCTGATACATGTCCTACTATTTAACACATAGCTGGGGGGGGAGAAGAGGTAGATTCCTACCTTTCCCAAGAGTATCTGAGTAAGTGTATATAACGAACATGGCTGGAATTGGATTGCAACTCTCAGACTTCACATTCCGAGCTGTTATCCATTATACTACCCACACATACAAGCTTACAGCACTTGGTATTCCCAAGTAGTCACCCATCTAGGTACTGACCAGGATCAATATTGCTTAACTTTGCTAATCGGACAAGAACCAGTGTTTTGGCATGATATAGCTGGAAGTCCATGAGTAAAAGCATTAATTTGCAAACTATATTTTGAAAATTTTTACTTAGCAATTTTTTTCTTAACTGGCTCAAATGAATCAGTTTCTAATTATCTGAAATAATTTCAGATTTTTATCTCAATAATCTGCAGTTTGGGATGCATAAAATCAAGAGAGTTACTGATTAGATACATGCTTACTTTCTTTAAAATTCTTTGAATACAAGTCAAAGAAACAAGGATCTTGAGGTCTTTTTCTGATAACCCATTATCTGAAGATTATAGGAATGACCATTTCACATTTGTCAAAATTAAAAAAAAACATTGATTTTTTTTTTTTAATAATTTTAGAAGGGGTGTTCTGTCCATAATACCAATACAGTGTAAAATCGATCCCTGACTTTTTACAGAGTTATTTGGACTTACCTGGTTTGCATACAAAAACAGATTAATAAAGATATTATCGTATTTTCTTGAGTATAATATGACCCTATGTTTCTGAAACCATAAATAAATTATACCCTTGAGTTTGAGTATAATACAAACCCGTAGTAGAGTCCTCCCTATGTAAATTCTTTTTGAAAAGTTGTAATATATTATCCATTAAAATCTTAATGTCATACATATATTTCACTAAAATATTTCATTTTTCACAATATTAAGGAGTTGAAATGAACGGAATGTTTAACCATTGCATGTTTGTTCTCCTAATTTCTGTTTCAAAACTTATCTTTGAATTTTCAGGGAAAGATGCTAACTAGACATACCCGGTAATACATTTTAAAGTGTTAATTAATCTATCACCCTTTTCTGTTTGATATGACTTTGTTATATGTCTATATATTAATAAACTATGGAAATAAAAAAAATATTGTCTTTCATTAAGAATGAAGAGAGAAAATTTTATAAGAAAATCAAAATACAAACAAATTTTATTTTGTGGGCAAAACTGGGTGGATTTGCAATCTTGCTGTTTCAAATAAGAGGCTTTTTGAGCTGAAGAAAAATTTCTGAAAATGTAATTGTGTATTAATATGTCTCATTTTTACCTTTAATTTTCATTCAAAATTTCTCATATTATGCACAAAAAATTTGGTAAATTTCACTGTTTAAAGAAAGGAAAAAAGACAAAAACAGTGATGTCTACTCAAATAATTGACTTGTAACCTTTTATCATAATTTGAAATGCTTACAATTCATAAATAAGGCAATTTCCTTAGATTGGAGGTTGAGTGAAATAAAATCTCACCTTTTCGCATATTGCACTCCTGTTTCATCACCATAAGCGTTCATCAACATATCTGACTCTTCCTTGGTGATGTTGGCAAAGGAAGAATCAAAAGACGGTGCATAGCTGCTAAACGGGCCGTAGTTGAGGTAGGACACTGGGAAACAGAGAAAGTATTAGATATGTGCATGCACAGACATATATATGGGTCATGAAGCCTATTTTCATGTTTGTGATGAGTTTCTGGATATTTAAATAAAAGATCAAGAATTGAAATAAATATAGCCTGCAGAAGCAAAGACACGTTGAAATTAAGTTATCAGAAAGAAAAAGGTGGTATAATTCCTCTTAAGTGGCTAGTTTTTCAATCAGCACTTAGTAAAAAGGACTGATGATAAGTTTTACAATGTCAAACCATAAAACCAAATTACCAATAAGAATGAGGTAAGATGCTTTAAAAGTAGTTCTCAAACAAATTTGATGTTTCACTCAAGTATTTTTGAATCTTTTTTCTAGATGACAACCATCTCTGTGTAAACAAAAAGACTTTCTTTACTTCTCGGAGTTACTTGGCATAACTTAAGTTGGCGTACTGTTTTCACTTTTTTTATACTAATGTTCACCCAATACAAGGCTCAAAAGCCACCCAAAGGAGATAGTTACTGTGTAGTGTTGCATGAATGTAAGAAAAGGCAAAAAGTTCATGGGCCTATGCAGAAAGATAACAGTTAATTCTAGACTTGAAGAGGTCAAGATTGTAGTGATCATAACATCCTACCAGAAGTCTGTTCCACAAGGTTGGGAAGAAGCTGTCTGAATAGAGCTTACTTTTCACTATAGAAATATGAAATGTATAAGGATGATTCACCCTTGTGTATATGTCATGCCAGGTCCCAGTTATAAAGGTTAGAGGTGGTGGGACTAAGGAATGTAGCTTGTCAGAACATATGCCATGGAAATAGCAATAGAGTAGCAAGAGGCTTGCCACATTTTGGCTGTGGGGAAAAGGGGTCGTTGTGTGGAAAAGGTCACATAGACACTTTTGAATTATCAAAACAGGCAAGTGAGAACTGGGCAGCTTCAGTCAAGATATAGCAGCAGTACTCCATTTTTGTTCTGATTGAGAAAGTATAGCAGAGGAAGTCAGATACATACTGTAACAATGCAATGAACTAACCATTTTTCCATGACAAAGTCTATTTTTAAACTATTTTACCTCATTTTAATTGGTAAGTTTTTTTTGTTTATTTTTAAATGGTAATTCTCTCTTATGGTTTAGCATTTTAAAACTTATCAACAATCCTCTTTGATGAGAGTTGATCAAAAAAAGTGGTCACTTTAGAGGAATTATACTGTTTCGTGTGACAGTTAATTTCATCATGTCTCTGCTTCGTCAAGCTATATTTAGGTTTTGTATGGTTAAGAAACCAATCAAAACAAAAAAAAAAAAAATAAATAAAAAGAAGGCTTTTCTTTTTATATCAGAACATTCAACATTGATTCAACTCCATAACATTATACAACAAATTATGACAAGTCCAATATGAAAAACATCTCAGCGAATCCATCTATATTTCTGAGATGAGGTATTATGTTCATTATTTACATTATTCGGACTATTGTCCTCATCTTTGTCGCCATATTTATTACAACGTTTCAGCTGTTGTATGCTCTGGCCTTCTTCAGGTGATTGGAATGTCGAACTGAACTCTTTATTTCACTCACTGGGGTAGACTGTTCTAGTTCCACATGCCATGTTTAATGGACTTATCCGTTATCAGTTATCTCCTGAGAACTTTCAGAGGGAAATTAACAGGAGATTCTGATAACTGACATCCATTAAACATGGCACGGAACTTAGTACTCTTTGGGTGAAGTAAAGGTTCAGTTTGACATTCCAACCACTTGAAGAAGGCCGGAGGTACAACAGCCTGAAAATGTTGTAATAAATATGGCGGCAAAGGTGAGGACAATAGTCCGAATAATGTAAATAATGCAGCAAATTCAGTAATCTTTTTCAAACACCTAAGTGTACAAACTGAAAAGCAATTCTTAATTTTGATATTTTAAGGATACAAACAATATTTATTAGAAATAATTGTGAGAACTAATTCAGCTGGCATGCATATTTTAACACAATTTGTAAATTTGAGACATTAATAGGCTATAGGCAGAAACCTATAATTATTGTTTTACATTCAGACTAAGGTCCTCATGTTTGTTGTTATTACTTTCTTCAGATGCCTGCCAATCTGGGTCACTTTCTGAGAATTTTAAATTAAACACTTTATTCACTCTACAGGTATACACTGTTCTTGTTCCACTGTCTATCCCTTGGGATATCTCATCTTGTTTTTTTTAGTACTGCTCAATTATTGATCATCCTGTTTGCCCTGAGTCTAAGACCAGGAATTGAACTCACAATTACAGTGTCACCAAATTCACTATCTGATACTTTAATCCACTAGGCTATTGTCCTATAGATTAAATACAAGGTTCAGTTTGAAATTCCCTGAAAGTTACCTGGATTGACAGACACCTGAAGAAGGCTGGAGGTTACAATGGCTGAAATGTGATAACAACAATGATGAGGACATTAGTCTGAATATAAATAATAACACTGATTCCAGAAATTCAGACAGAAACCAAAAATTAATACTGGACTTTATAGTGGGCATTAATGGTTTAAGATTTCCTTTGATGGAGTCTGTAGCCTCCCTTGAGAAGGTGTTGATTCAGGTGTGATCTCTTCTTTATAAATTTTTGAGTTGTAATATAACTTCCTCTCAGGGAGGAAACATTTAATCTTTGAAAGCAGTTAAAATGGTAGTTAAAATAAAAATTGATTGTTTTTTATGGCTTATTGACTTTTTGTGAGTTTTTTTTTTTTAAGCATTTCACCTCAAGCAAGGCAGGATGCCAACTAGTATGCAAGGGGGTTACAGAGTGGGAGCACGAGTAAAGAGGCATGATAGAGGAAAGGATGAAAAGAAGGACAGGGAATAGATCAAGGCATTTGGAGATGTCGATTCCCATTACATTTGAATAGTTGGAGATTATAGCTATCAGGGAAACAAGGGAATTTCATAGGAAGGGAATTTCACAGACAAGAGGTGCGAGACATGAAGCTATTTGAGTAGAAGAAACGGCCACATTTAATTGTTTCAACAGTTATTCAAAGACAAAACATTTTTGATTGTAAGAATTTTTTTTTGCAAACATAATGATTTTATGGTACAAGTCCTACTATTTAACCCATAGCTAGGGGGAGAAGACATGGATTCAAACCTTTCCAAAAGATATTTGCACGTAAGCGAATATAACAAACCTGACTGGAATTTGAACTCGGCTCTCTGATTTTCAATTCCAAGCTGTTATCTATTATACCACCCACACAATCAAGCTTACAGCACCTGGTATTCAAAATAAAAACAAATTAAAACTTACCAGGGGAAATCTTATTCCGTTTGTCTTCTTTGAAGCTCGATAAAACTCCAGTTCCACTTGTCAATTTGTTTGCCATTGCTCCAAGGTTGATTACTTTTTCTGTATCACTGACTGTTGAGAGTAACAACAGCAAAAAGGAAAATATTAGATTGAGTCATAAAATAATATCTTTGTTCAAATTTATTCTTCCAAAAATAAAGTACAATTACATTTTATTCATTTATATATTCATCATTATTTGCAATGACTTGTTGACACTTATCAGGCAGCACTTCAATACCATTTGAATAAAATTCTGCAGGTTTAATGTGGAAATATTTTTCAACAAACTCTTGAATATGGTTTTCATTAGAGAAGGTTTTCCCCACAAAGTGTTTTTCAGTGATTAAAAAGAAATGAAATAATAAGTTGGTTTAAGATCAGGTGCATATGGCAGGTGGTCTAGAACAAACTGACCAAGTTCCAAACTTTTTTCCTGTGTTATTCTTTCTGCATGCAGCGTTGCATTGTCATGGAAGAGAACAACATTTTTCCTATTAACAAGCCCAGGATGCTTTTTGACCAAACTTTTATGGCCATGTTGCAGCTGCTGGATGTATAAATGCACATTTAGTGTTTCATTTCAGTTAAGGAACTAAATGAACAATACCCTAACAATTTGACTACATTCACAAATTTACCTTTCTTTCATGGAACTGAACTTTGTTGCTTGTTGAGATTTATCCCTGTCAATCCACTATCTTTTGCATTGAATATTGTCATATGTTAGTATGCTCTAAATTTATTCCTAATTACCATGTATGATTAGGATAATAAATTCACCATTACAATGGGTCCCCAAAAACGGAAATTACTTATGACTCAACCTATTAAAATTCAGAAACCATAAAAAAACACTTTAAAAATAAAAGTACAAACTAGACGGAAACCAAAAATTAATACTGGACTTTATAGTGAGCATTAAGATTTCCTTTGATGGAGTCTGTAGCCTCTCTTGAGAAGGTGTTGATTGAGGTGTGATCTCTTCTTTATAAATTTTCCTCTCAGTGGAAACATTTAATCTTTGAAAGCAGTTAAAATTTTAGTTAAAATAAAAATTGTTTTTTTATAGCTTATTGACCTTTTGTGAGTTATTTAAAGACAAAACATTTTTGATTGTCAGAAATCTGTCAAAATAAGTTTTGCAAATTGTTTTATAATACTATTAAACAATATACTCTTGACTTATATATGACCTATTTTATATATATATATATATAAAATTGTTTTATAATACTATTAAACAATATACACTTGACTTATATATGACCTATTATATATATATATATATATATATATATATATAAAAAAATAGGTCATATATAAGTCAAGAGTATATTGTTTAATAATATTATAAAACAATTTGCAAAACTTATTTTGACAGATTTTGTCAATTAAACAGTTAGTAAGAAAAACAAATTTTATAATTTTATTCTAACAAAATCTACATTCTCTTCAGGCTATGGATGATCATGGCTCTCCAAAACTTACTAATCCTTGTGGTCCTTGGGAGTTTTTCTCCTTTTGCTAAGGTTCCCACCTTCCATTCTGCTATCCATTCACACAGGCTTGTCAAGTAGAAGACTTACTTGTCCTCTCTTGCCTTCAATTTTTTTCTTCAAATTTTCCAAGCCTTCCTTCCTCCTTATGTGGCCAAGGCATTTCAGATGTCTTTTCCTGATCCTGAACATAGGTGTTTTTTTTTGTTGCCATTTTAAGACTTCTTCATTTCTTACTCACTCCATCCTTAGAATTCTCACTATCCTTCTGTAGAACCACATTTCTGTTGCCTCCAGTTTTCTCCTCATCTGTGGAGAGATTGTCCATTATTCACAGCCAAATAAAAGAATGGATATCACATAGCAACCCAGCGCTCTTTTCTTTGTTTCTAACAATCTACATTAGTGAAATAAAATCCATTTTTCTAATGACGCTGTTTGGTGGCAAGGTATGTCAAAGTAAAAGTTTTCCAAATTGCCTTATAAATTTACCATTCTGTCAGATTCTTATCCAAATTTAAATCATAGTTGTATAAGTTTGCTATAAAATCCTAAAAATGTTTAAGACAATCTGAATATATTATAATTGGAAGTTCAAAAAGTCAAAAAAAGTTTACAGTAGAGTTTCAAGAGTTTGCAGTGTAAAATGTAAATGACCCCCTTTTTTTTACAGTGATATTCACCCTGTACAAGGCCCAAGAGCCACTCGAGGTAGAGAGTTAAAGAGTGATAGGCACAGTTTATGCATATATGTGGGGAAGATAATAGTTAACTCTAGATTTGAACAGGTTAAGATTGTAGTAATCAGGAAAGCATCCTCTTGGGAGTCTCTTATCTTAGCATTGTACCATTTGCCCTTGTTGAAGATGAGAGACAAATACTATAGTAATGTGCAGCAGCAATCTAGCGCTAAATAAATTAAAAATTAACAGAAAAGGAGAAACTTCTACCTCTGCCATCACTGTCTGGATTCAGAATCATTAAAGATGTGCTCCCATCTTTTCGTCTCCTTAAAAATCCAAACTGAAAGAAAAAAGAGAAATTGTGTGATGGAAGATTTGGCTCCAAACAAATGTATTTCAAATTAAATTCTCAACTTATTTCTAACCAAAGGAAAAAAAAAACCTGAAAAGATTTCAATATTTTTTGACTTTATCATGGTATATTCAATGAAAAAGAATTGTCAGACACAAACACAGAAGCAGAAATATAGGAAACATTGTGGGTCCAACTGACCTGGGCTTTTGGTTCTCTTAGTGTCAACATGTCAGCTGCCTCTTTGGCTGCTTCTTGAGCCTGGGCCAAAATTTCTTCGGGTGTCAGATTATCAGGGATTGCTTCAAATCGACTCAGACTGAAAGAGAGAAAAGGTTATAAAAATCTGAATTTTGTTTTTATTCTTCAAATAAAAGTATTGTTTCTTCTTTCCTTTTATCATTGAGAATTTTGGGAAGCAAAAAAAAGAATTGTTGCTGGATTCCCATAGATTTTATACAATAAAATTGATGCATGTGAAGTTAATGCAACTTTGGAAGGGCGTGGATTTTTTTTTCTTTTTATTATGAATAAATACACATTGAGTAGAAAATCAAATACATGAAAAGAGCAGTGTTTAAGGCAAGAATCTATTATTTTCAAAAATCATGAAAACATCAAAATGATGGATTAAAACAGGATTAATCAAATCAATGGCTGAAAACCAGAATTCAGGTTTGCTTCACTCGTTCTGTTTTATGAAATTCACAACTTTCAGTTAACTTTATTGGAATTTCTAAGTCAAAAAGGAGATTGACAAATAAGAAATTATTAAACTTGCCATGTTTTTTGTTTCTTTTGTTTTTTTTCTTTCAATGCTTGTTGGTCATCAATGACTGGATCGAAATTTTCATCGGCCAAAAGGCAACTATCATTGCCTTCATTCTCTTCAGTCAATCCAAGTTCCTCCATTGTGACATTCTCCATAAAATTGAGGGTTCGTTTCATCAGAAGTAGATTATCCTGAAAGTAAGGTAGGCACAATTTGAGAAAATTGTTTAAGAAAATCAGAGTTTAAAGGATTATTTTTCTACAAAGGATTGAAGACATTGCAGTAGAATATTGACTTTTAATTCTGAAAATCCTTTTGTGAGTTCTTATTAGAATTAAGAACTCAAATGATTAAAAAAAAATATATATATATATAAAAATCTTAAAACTATCTTACTAATCACAAAATCTTAGAAAATTAAAATTCAACACGGGATGGGCAGAAAGAAACTCCCTACTGAAAATTACTTTGTTAATATCACTACATTTACATGAAACTATATTGTGATCCTTAAATTGGTATAATTTCATTGTAAATATCTGTTTTTATTTCAGAGTGACAAGTGTAGCCCAGAATTGCACAACACCTGACACTGTATGAGTGTACTCAGCTAGCACCCCCGTTACAAAGTGTGGTAGTCTGTGGTATAAGTGCAGAAATGATGGTGCAGTGTTCATGGACCTCATGCTTAGATGCCAAACCACCAGAAATTGTCATTCCAAGCTGATGAATACAGGATCTGTGGTAGAAGTGGTTGCACTTTAACAGAGTTTTCAACAGTATTTCATGATTATCTTTAAATTACTCTGTGACTTTGAAGACAAAAAGAGATTAATAAAAGATTTAATAAAAGTGAAGATAGAAAATATGGTAGTAGATCAGAGTAACACATGGGATGCCTGCTATAAATCAATGGTTAGAAAGTCTTACAGGTTATCACAAATGTATTTGATCCATATTAAGCCCAGCTGAGTGAATATGGTATTCCACTGTTGTTTTGGTGGAATTTAAAGGCCTTTAGTCCTGTTGAATAGTTGAGGTTCCTTCTTGCCAATATTGAATTTCCCTTTGCAGTAAGTTGTAGGTTAATATTAGTAATCGACTCACATGAGAACTATCTAAGAATCTGTCTCTGTAAATTTCTTTATATACTATCCTACTAGCTACCTCCTGTGACTTATTGGAATAGTTCATTGAATGAGAGAGTGATACCCAGTAATATCTACATCAACGTTCTCATGAATTAAATGAAATATTTTTTATCTTTAGACAATGTTTATCTGCAATTCTGTGAAGAATCCTTATCTTTCAATTGTTTGCTTAACAGCATATCAACTGCTTATGGGTCATCTAATGCCAAAATTTTATTTTTTTTGCAAGCTTTGTTTTTTTTTTTTTTTCAAAAATGTATTGCGGGTAAATTTTTTTTACTATGAAAGTGTATTGTTGGTAATTTTTTCTAATGTATTTTTATATTTTCATGTTTAAACCCCAGTTTGAGGGTTCACTATTTGCGCATAGCTGGGACCCTAAAAGGTACTACCACCCTGGGTTAGGCTGGACCTAGGAACAACAGCAATTAATAAGTGTTTCCATACTCCTCAAAACTTTCAATCTTCTGATCAGAGACGTTGCTGCTGGATGTAGTTTATTGTCATACCCAGGATAAATTTTTCAATTGTGATTTACACAAGGGAAACAATGTCGTCTTTTTGGAAATATGTAAAGAAAGAACAAGGGATAAAAAAAAAAAAAAAGGTTCTTCTTCTCAGCCTGTGAAGGTCCTTAGTTGGATCTAAGCCTCCCCCCGATCTTGCCATCTTTGTCATTCAGAGGGAGAAATGGAGCATTACTCTACTGCACTGGCCCATTGCATGTTGGTGGGGGTAGATGTAACACACTTGGGTGATCATGTCTCTTTTGGATTAACTTGGTAGAAGAATTCCAACAATATGTTGTTGTTACTTTCTGTAGTAAACTGGTTGCCAACCAAGGCTATAATACACAGTCTGTGTTGCTATCCAACCCACAGCTGGGGGAGAAGAGAGTGATTCATACCTTTCCCAAGGGTATTTGCACACAAGTGAATGTAACAAATTTGAACTTGGCTCTCCAATTACTCATTCTGAGCCATTATTACACATTGTTTGAACCTCCAAGGTTACAGCACCTGGTATTCCCTAGCAGTCACCCATCTAAGTACTGACCAAGCTTGCCATGGCTTAATTTTGGTAATTGGACAACCAGTGTTTCAATATGATATAGTATTAAGCAGATGCTGCCCAGTCTTCACGTTTCAATTTTGACAAAGCTCAAAAGTGTCTCTGTGTCCTTAACCCCTTTTTTCACGGACAAAATGACGCAAACCTCTCACTGCTCTATCGCTATTTCCATTGAAAGTATTCAGATGAGCTACATTTCTGAGTTCCCCCGATTCTAACCTTCACAGCCAAGACCTGTTATGCCACGCCCATTGTAGAGAACCACCCTCATTCCCTTTGTATTCCATTAGTGAGGTGTAAAATCCACTCAAGCAGCTTCTTCCCAAGAAACACTGCTTTGTGGAACTGACTCCCAAGAGGATGCTTCCCTGATCACTACAATCTTAATCTGTTCAAGTCTAGGGTAAGCCTTTATCTTCCACACATATCTACATAAACTGTACCTCTTACTTTGTAACTCTCTACCTTGAGAATGGCTCTCGGGCTTTGTACAGAGTGAACATCATTGTAACTTATATACATAAGTGATAAAACCCAAAAAATTACCTTTGTTAATTGTTTGACCCCACTGTGGAGAAGGCGTCGGGCTTCTTTGTAGTAGATTGTTTCCGGTCGGTTATAAATCATGGCATTTTGACACATGAGAACAAAATCTTTCTGAAAAAGCACAATCAACAAAACAAAAATGCTGTCAATATTTAAACTGGAAAATCATGTAGGATAGAAATCCCTTGCAAACAAAAATATTTAAGAATAATGATTGATTTGTTTTCCATGGTTTATAAACATTTTGCAGGTTATTTAAAGCCAGAAAATATTTTTAGATTGTAAGAATATTTTTTTGAGATAATAATAGTTTAGTGATACAAGTCTTACTAATTAGCCCATAGCTGGTATGTAAAGAGATGGATTTATACCTAATGAGAATTTGATAAACAAGAAATTGTAATCTGTATATAAAGTGGAGTATTGATTTTTTATTACAATCAGTATATAAAATGATCCCTCAATTTATGGCCACGGTAGTTTCTATACATTTATATTCCAGAGAATGTCAATAAATCTAAAAGAAATGACTATGTAGCTAATCAGTATTTCACTTGATTCATTCATTTCAAACAGCTTCTCAACCCATTGCAGGTTATTTAAAGCCAGAAAATAATTTTAGATGGTAAATTTTTTTTTTAGAGCTAACAATGACTTAGTGATACAAATATTACTAACTGATCAATAGCTGGGGGGGAAGACATAGATTCATACTTTTCCCAAGGGTATCTGCATGTAAGTGAATATGATGAGCCCAGCTGGAATTGAACTTGGCTCTCTGATTAACAATTCCAAGACAATATCAATTACACCATCTGCATATCCAAGCTTAGAGCAGCTGGTATTCCCAAATGGCCACTGTAACACTAGAGAAAATGGCTTACTTCTGGGACAAAAATGGATTCGGACGTGTCTTGCATATAAAATATCCCGAAAAAGAAAATGGAGGCTTTTGTGAGAATCTCTTTTAACCTATGCAAATTTGAACTGTCATTCAATCTATAAATGTGCTTAAAGAGGTGACAGACAAAAGTGTGACTGCAGGACACATGTGTTGTCGGATTGTTTGACTTTGATATTCCTTTGATGGTTGAAGAAAACAGATTAGGAAACTTTATTACAAGCCAGAGGAAGCTGTCTACAGTCACCCATCTAGATTCTGACTAGACTCAACGTTGCTTAATTTCGGTGATTGTATGGGTACTGGTGTTTAAATGCCATGTGGCCGTAAGCTATTTAAGAGTAGAAGAGTGCTGATTAGGGAGATAAAAGTCTGTTCTGTAAAGACTTACCTTGTATTCGTTAGTGCTGGTGTATTCTTCATCTTCTACTTTGCCATTAATGGTACTGAAGTCCATAGGTTTCTGGATGATACTGGAATAGCCAGGGGCAATGATATCATTGACAGGAAATGCAAAGAATCCATGCGTATCCTTCCGCTGCAACAATCGTGTCATATACTGCAGGAACATTTTGAAACTGTTTGGCTCTTCTTCTTCTGTATTGGATCGTAATTTCTTATCTACTGGTTCCTCCTCTTCCTGCTTTGGCCTATCCAGTGGATTTGGTGTGGATGTCACCGAATATGCATGGCGTTTACTTGATGGAGATGCACATGACGATGATTGCGAGTGGCCCTCCCCCTCGTATTCATCTCGGTCACGTTTGCGAGGTCGATCCTAAAAAGATTCCAGGAAAATCTTAAGTTACTGGGATGGAATTATTGAAAACCTTTTTGCTGGTTTCAGCTTACGAGAACATTTAAAAAGCAAAAAAGGATGAAAATACACAAATATGTCAGATTTTGTTATGCATTAATCCAATTAGAAACAATAATTAAAAACAGAAGTATTTGAATTTTCAGATCCCTCTCTCTCAAAAATATAAACCAAGAATGTGGGTAGTAAAGAAAGTGTCCAGATTCCATGAAAAGTTCCTATTTGTAAAAATAATTAATTCATTTGATTTTAATTTTCTTCAGAGTACATTATGTCAGGTAATGGCCAACAGGTTTCCCTCACATA